ATTCAAGGCTCAATGACAGCCCACCTTTGACCAGCGCTCTACCCTTCAGTGTGAGCTGTCGTCTGAACCCAGTGAAGGGTTAGAATGTTGCGGAGTTGCATGGTGGCTTCTGCAGGGCTGAAGGGGCAGGTAGCAAACATATGAAAATGTGGACAGAGGTCCAGAGGGACAAGCAGTGGTAGATATTCTAGCAAAGTGGTAGAATGCATGCTTTTCCGGCAGAAGGTCCCAGCTTCGATCCCTGGTGTCTCCATTTCAAAGGGCCAAGGAATAAGTGAGATGCTCTTTCTCAACCTTGGAGAGCTGCCACTACCTGTCAGAACAAACAGCCCTCAGCTGGATGGCCAGACTGGCATAAGGCAGCCTCCTGTGCCACGTGGGTCAGAGAAGCTCCGCCACTTGGACTCTGGGATCATGCACGGACAATGCCCAGTCTGGTTTCCAGAGCCATCTGTACGATAAAACATGGTGTCCAAACATTTCAGATTAAAGTGCCCATGAACCCTGTGCATGCAGAATGATGGGAGCTATAATCCCGGCCATCTTGTCAGCACCAGGCTGGGGGAGCCTGCATGAAAGGTTAAAAACTTGCATTCAGAAAACGGGACAAGTTATTTCAATGGAGCATCACGTGAGCTCATTTTCAAAGTTTCTACTATACCTTATTAGGAAATTTATTATTATTATTATTATTATTATTATTATTATTATTGCATTTCTATACTGCCCATAGAGAGCCAAAGCTCTCTGGGCAGTTCACAATATTTTAAGTCACCCATCCAGATTTCAACCAGACCTGATCCTGCTTAGCTTCCAAGATGAGGCAGGATCCGGCTCTACTGAAGGCAACTGGAGTTGTCAACTTCCACTTTTTAAAGGACTTGGTTCTGTGTTTTTTAAGTGTTTGATCGGCACCGATGTGCAAGAGAAAGCACATGGGCTGGGTTCAGACAACACCATTAGCCCCACTCTAGGGCTGTGCCCTTGACTGTGGGTTGTCACTGCACTGCGAGCTGATGCTGAAACATGCATTGTCATTCTGTCAGAACTCAGTCCAGACAACAATCAACATCTAACTATGAATAAACCAGAGCTCTAAACCAAACAGCAAACCATAGACTAATGTGCCATTTGCTGTTAACAAACCATGGTTTGCTACCACATGGTTTAGCATAGTTTGTTAGTTCAGAAATCACAACAAACCACATTTAAACAATGTGAACCCAGCCTGGCTATCCCTCTCATGGGTTTGTCAAGGTTATCCCTTTCAAATCTCTGCAGATCAAGTTGTCTGCACCCAACTTCATTGTGAAATATTGTATCTGGACAGTATAATCTAAGTGCCAACTCAGTGGCTTGGCCCAGTGAGTCATTCAGAACTTCAAGGTAGATGCATACAGATTATTTCTGCAGCTGCTCAGTAAGAGTAAATCCAACAGCACAGGGCCACTCCCTGCTCAAAAATCATTTAGGGATTAATAGTAGATTAAAAGCAAAATTGGAGGTCATTCTTTCTCCCAAGGTAACATCACAGTAGAGGGGGGAAGGTGAATCCCCCCCCCCAGCACTAAGAGTGAAGTTTAGTTTATCCAAATTATTTTACAGGTAGACTTTGAAATGTAACAGCATTTTAGGGACAGAAGATGGAAAACATGTGAGTGGGGAAGAGAGAAAGCGAGTTTTACTCAATTTCCTGAGGAAAGGAAGTTAGCTGGACAAGCAGCTTGCTCATTGAAACAGCAGGAAATAAAGGTCGCAAGTAAAACTCTGATATAACCAAGGTGCACCAGCACCTGGAAAAGGATCAGGGTGCACCCCAGAAGAACACCCTCCTGCATCTTCCCCCTGCTAGAATTCCTTGCCAACAAACCTGATTCGGGGAAAACTTCAGAACTGAGTCAGAAAGGGGGCTCAGCGCCGGGCACGGCCGAAGGCGCACGGCTGTGGCTGATGTAACTATGCAGCAAACCAGAAACCGGCTCCGCGGAACAACACACACACACCCATCATTTATCATGTTCAAGAGGCTGCCCGGCGTGAGAAGGAAGAGATCTCAGAACCTGCCCGGGCGTCCAACTTTTGGACCTCAGACGGGGAGAGCGCCCGGGGCATCTTTTCCCCCGCCGAGCGGCGGCACCGCCTTGCCCCGCGTCCTTCGCGCCGGCCGCCCACTCACTTCGCCAGGCACAGCTGCGGGGCTCGCCCGGCCCCCTTCCTCCGCTCGCCTCCCCTCGCCGCGCCTCCCCGCCCCGCTAACCTCGCGCACGGCGGGCGGGCGGGCAGCGTCCCCCGTCCAGGCCTTGCAATCAGAACGGCATCCTCGGCCCGAAGGGCGCGAAGGCGCCAAGGGAGCCCGCGGCGCGCCTGCCCGCGCCTACCTTCGCTCCGAGGGGAGAAGGGCGAGAGGCTCCCGCGGCCTCCCCTCTCGCTGGGCTCGCCCCAACGTGCCTGCAGGTCCGGTCGGGGGAATGCTCAGCCGGCAGCCATGTTGGTATAACTCTCCAAACACGTGGGGAGCTGGGTTCCTCCTCTTACCCATAATACTCGCCCGTGATGCGGCAAGGAAGGGCAGCGGGCGCCAGGGGGCGCTGCGCGCGCGCCTCTGAGCCCGGGCGGGACTTCCCGTGCTCGGCGAGCTCCCCGGGAAAAAGAGGCGAGGGCAAAACGTACTGGCAGCGGTGGGATTCGAACCCACGCCCCCGAAGAGACTGGAGCCTTAATCCAGCGCCTTAGACCGCTCGGCCACGCTACCGAGATGCGGAACCTGCCCTGCTATGGCTTACTCATCGCTGTCGACAGATGCATGAATTGCATTCTTTGCAGCTGGCTTTGTGAAAAAAGGATCTGAAGAAAGCGGACCACGACGCGGAAGTTTCGTGTGCAGTCATGATCGTGTGCAAAGGGTGCTAGTAACCGAGACTAGGGGATATCTGGAAACAGGGTCCTGAGAGGAAGAATTGCAACAGAAACCCGTGCGTGTGCACTCGGAATGCTGGACTAGATGGGACCTTGGGTTGCTCCAGCAAGTTTTCCACACTCTTGGGCTCGATCTCCACAGGATGCGTGCAGAAAGTGCAGAGCAAGTTTTCTTTCTCCCTTTTAGAGCCCACGGAGGCCACCCCATGAAGCTCATGGGTGGAGAATTCCGGACAGATCAAAGGAGGGACTTCTTCGCAAAGCAGGGAATTAAACTCTGAAATTCACCGCTCCAGGGAAGTCATGATGGTCCCCAGTTAGTTGCGGTTAATGTGCCTTCAAGTTGCCTTCCACTCAGGGCAACCTTCGGAATGAAAGCCGTCCAGAAATGTCCTGTCTTTCACAGCCCTGCTCAGCTCTTGCCAACTCGGCAGGGGTTCCTTAATCCATCCTATATTTTAGTCTTTCCCTTCTTCTGCCTTGGTCTTTTCATCGCATTGTACTTACCATTACTGTTAAATTGCCCATCAAACACTTGGAGGGAAACTACTTTATTTATTTATTTATTTTTCTATTTATATCCTGCCTTTTTCCTACAAAGGGCTCAAGGCAGCTTCCATCATTCTCCTCCTCCATCTTATCCCCACAACAACCCTGTGAGGTAGGTTGGGCTGAGAATCTGTGACTGGCCCAAAGTCACCCAGTTGGCTCCATGGCTGAGTGGGGACTAGAACCCAGATCGTCATTACAGCAACTAACCTGCATAGTTCAGGGGCCCTGAATAAGAACACCTGAATAAGCAGAGGCTGGTTATGGCCACAGGTCTAGGAAGCCTTAAAAGGTGATTGGAAAAAATTCATAGAGGAGAAGGCGGTTTATTATTAACATAATAAAAAGCCACTAGGGCAGTGTGCGTCAGTTTTAACCACTGAAAAACACTAGGAATATTAGAAACAGTAGCACAGCAACCTTAAACATGACATAAGGATGCGATCCTAAACATGATTAGACAGGAAAAAGTCATAAAACTCCCAGTGTTCCTTAGCTATCCTTGTGTCTTGAAACCTTGAACTAAAAAAAAAAAAAAAATGTTTTTGACCAATCTCTCTGAAAGCCAAAAGACTGGAAAGCAAAATGGGCTGGGCAGTATCAATTGCTGTTTGCCATGATGGCAAAATGGAACTTCCATGATTGGAGACAGTCTATCTTTGACATTAGAAAAGCCATACCGGATCAGAATAAAGGACTTTTTAATTCAGAATTCTGCTTCTAACAGTGGCTATAGGAAGCTCACAAGCAAGGCATGAATTCAATAGGTTCCAGGGATGGAAGAACAGAAGAGGGCTACTGGTTTTGCTTGTGTGCTTCTCGAAGACGCATCTTGTTAGCTTCTGTGGCAAAGGGTATGATGGCCTCTACGTACCTTCATATCTGAGTATTTAAAATATTTCTTGGTGGCCTTTCAGGACACGTGACCCTCCCAAGACAGTGTACAGCCATCAGTGGTCTGCTGAGATGTTCTACAATGCTGAAGAGCAGGAGCTGGTCCTGGGAGCGTTTGCCAGGGGACCCCTCCTTGAAGGTGGGTTCTTGTCAGGTGCCCAGCTGTGCCTACCCCAGATACTGACTCCAGTTACAAGCAAGGAGCCGCTGGCTTTGCTGGCTGGTTTTCTGCTTCCCAGTCGGCCTCTGGGCATCTCTGGGTACCAGTCCTGTGTGTGGTGGCGTGTGGCAACAGGGCTTCTGGGGTCTTTGCCACTCTGACTGGGTTTGCACATTCAGGGGAAATGAAGCCACAGTAGCTTCTTTCCCCCATGTGCTACTTCTGTGCCGTGTGAATTGCCTACTTACCCTCTTGTTGTGTGGCTTCCCATGTTGTGCAAATCTGGCAAGGTGCCTGGCTGATGTTGGAGGACACCATGTTTTATCGTACAGATGGCTCTGGAAACCAGACTGGGCATTGTCCGTGCATGATCCCAGAGTCCAGGTGGCGGAGCTTCTCTGACTCACGTGGCACAGGAGGCTGCCTTATGCCGGTCTGGCCATCCAGCTGAGGGCTGTTTGTTCTGGCAGGTAGTGGCAGCTCTCCAAGGTTGAGAAAGAGCATCTCTCTTATTCCTTGGCCCTTTGAAATGGAGACACCAGGGATCGAAGCTGGGACCTTCTGCCGGAAAAGCATGCATTCTACCACTTTGCTAGAATATCTACCACTGCTTGTCCCTCTGGACCTCTGTCCACATTTTCTTATGTTTGCCGTCTGCCCCTTCAGCCCTGCAGAAGCCACCATGCAACCCCGCAACGTTCTAACCCTTCACTGGGTTCAGACGACAGCTCACACCGAAGGGTAGAGCGCTGGTCAAAGGTGGGCTGTCATTGAGCCTTGAATCACGAGTAATCACATTGTCTGAACCCAACTGAGGTAGCAAACCATAGTGAATGACCTGTGGCTCAAAACCTGACAACACACTATGGTTGGTTTGTGGGTTACAGGCCATGGCTTGTTAGTGCAGCTGAATTCAGACAACACAACAACCCATGGTTCAACCTTCGACTGCAGATTATCCCGTTGTGTGAATGAAGTCACTGCAACAGATTTCACTGTCCTGCTGGTGTAGCGCATTGCAAGGTTGGGCAGCTGGTGGCCATGACAGACGTTTTGGCCTGTGACTCTTATTGTCCCGACCATTGGCTCAGTTAGCTGCAGACCAGATCACTGGGAGGGCCACTGTTGCCCAGCGCTGTCCTATACCATTCTCCCTTCTTACCTTCAGGGATTCCTCTCAATGGGATACACAGGTGGAAACCTTATACAGTCCATCTCCTGACTAGGACTAGTGCATATAGCTAGCCTCAAGGTTTCACCTGCCCATCTAGTGAATAACCTGTGGCTCAAAACCTGACAACACAATAAGCCATGGTGGTTTATGAACCAGATGTGGCTTATTTATTTAGGGAACTTCTATGCCACCTCATTCGCCGAAGCCTTGCGGTGGCTCACAATCATAAATAATATAAAACAATATAATTTAACAGTATAAATTAAGTCGCCTGGGCCAAAGAATAAAATAAATAAATAAATAACAATTAAAATAACGTTTGAATAAAAAGCGCAGTCATTTGTCTTTCGGCACCAGGCGGACCTCTCTGGGGAGCGCATTCCATAGATTGGGCGCCACTGCAGAGAAAGCCCTCCTCCGAGTACTTACCCTCCTCATTTCCTTCACGGAGGGTTCCCGGAGAAGGGCCTCTCCCGCCGATCTCAAGGGGCGGGCGGGCTGATCTCAAGGGTGACTTGTTGTGTTGTGTGACCCCACTTGGGGTGGTTAACCAAGCACACTTCTGGGTTCAGAAAACATGGCAAGCCACCCTTGGCTTATAAGCCACCAGGGCTTATAGTGTTGTGTGAACCCAGCCCTTAACTCTCGATCCCACCTATGGTGCAAATTTGGGGCAGCCTGATGGATGCAGAGGGGAGGGAGGGGCAGGGGGCAGAAAGAGTAAGCGAAAGGGTTACTCACTCTGGCCCCATCAGCTGCAGACATGTGGCTACCAGCTACCTTCTTTTGAACCAACAGTCTTTCAATGTAATTAAATGACCACAAATTATAACAGATACTAGAATTCTATCTAGAATTTTAAAAGAATGTTTACTTTCTTTTCTAAGGACGTTTATTCTCCCTGTAATTAGCAAGAGAGTCAGGGCTTCCTAGATGCTAATTACAGCTCTTGCATTTTAATTTCCATTAGCAATGGCAGAAACAGGCATTAAATAAGTATGCAAAATGCACAAAAATGTAAACCGTGTGGTGGTGGTGACTGGTCCGTGTCCACATCCCAAGGAATTAATGCTGGAAGTGCATTTTGTTAGAAGAGATCATTTCCACAAAGCTCTAAAGAATCATACTTATATTTAACTTCACAGCGATGAAAACAAACGTCTTGAAATAAAGATGGACACTTAGGATTCATCCTCAGAAATTTATTGAAAATTTATCACAGCATTTTTGTGACTCCTCTCTTGTGCTGAATAATGTAAACATAAGACAGGAACTGAACCCTTTTCCGACAAGTTCCGCAGGAACCCCTTAAGTTTCAAGTCCTTGTCTGGAATAATCAATATTTCTCCCATCTCTCTCATTGGAAAATGATAACCCAAAGTTGCCTAGTAGGAAACACTGGTAGTAAGATGTCAGCTTCAACTCTTTTTAGGTTTGCTGCTCGGTACAGCAAGAGTAAGCGAACTCCGCACACAGTCATGAAGTCAGTAAATAAAAACTCTGCAGTGAACGTCTATTGAATAGTAACTCCGGACCTGAATGAACATTGTAGAAACCTACTAACAAGCAGAAGTCTATGTTTCAAGGAGCAGAGACGTAGTAGATATACTTCTAAACTGCTCTAATCTCTTGCACTGAAAGAATACTTTGGAAGTGGCATTCCAAGTACTAGGGGCTGGGAAGTTGAAAGTTGTACAGCAAGGTAATAGCGATGCATAGAAATCGAGTGTCGCCCAGGGTCTGTAGTGGTTGCAGCCTGCAATCTAGCACTATGGATGATCTGCTACTCCGTACAAAAATAATCTCTGTATGTAGAACCTGGATTTCCTGGAGGAAGGAACCGAACTTGCAACCGAACTTTCTCCCTGACTCCAAAAGGGGATTTGTTTGAATGTACAAACATTTGATCGTGTGCAACCCCACTTGGGGTTTGGAAGTGATACAGTCCAAATTAACAACCTCATCTGCTCTCTTTCAAGAACAACACCTGAGATACTTACGTTTTCTGGTGGATTACACATGTCCACCTAACTATGTAGATAGTATTTTGGTATCACACAGAACAGCTAAACTGCATTGAGAATGGAGATGCTACAAGCACTAAATAAAGCGAGTGGATAAAACTCTACTATTATGGAAGCAAACACAGAAGCATTGTTTGCATAGAGGAACAAGGAAGGCTACAGGATTATCTTGCAGCACGTGATAAGGCTTGCAACCCAATCCTTTGCATGCTTACTTGGGAGTAAATCCCACAATGCTGTGACTAAATTATAAATTACACTGGCATTTTCTGTGTTGTTCTCACTGACCTGGTTGGTGCATAGGGACAACCTACTGGTTTTCTGAATTGGATCTGTGGAGATTTTGAAAAGAGTGAAATTAAATTTCAGTGATAATCTGTTTGAGTGTGTGCTGGGAAAGCACCAGTGAAACTTTTCAGAATTGAATGGAAAGCTTCTTGTTTGCAATATCTGGTGATTTTACAACATTCTGTTCAGCTCAATGGACTAGTGGTGAATTGCGCCTGAATCGCTCTTCCTTGCATCTATTTTTGTTCCCTGCAGGGAGGTAGCAGTGGTTGGAATTACTGGTTTGGTTTTTGGGCTGTCTTGGTAGGAAAGTAAACACATGCACAACATATGAGGAAGCCAGCAATTAAAGCTCCTTGCAATGGAAAAGAGAAGTTGAATAGGTGAGCTTTCATCCCTAAATTCCCAGCCACACTGAACAAGAAATGGCATGGGCTAAACCTGCAAGGAGCAAGCTTTCGATCAACGTTGCACAAGAACTTTGCTGAAGTAAACATTATAGAAGAGTCTTAAGCATATTGCTGATACCAATGCCAAGTGCTATGTTAGAACTTCTGTTTAATTTCACTTCCAGCTACTGGAGGAAAGCAATGTCTTAGCAGCGTTAAAAGGCTTCACACGGAAGCAATGTCTGTGTACTTTTGATTTTCCAGTTGTATTCATTCATACCAACATCACACTTGTTTTTTGTCTTGTTATACCAGGAAGAAATACATGGATAGGAGGAGACATGTTGTTACTTTCCAAACTCCACATCATCAAGGAGGATTAGGTGAAATTAACAATCAAAGTTCCTATTTTGACAGCTTGGTCTTACTAGAATTCCAGTTGGAACGTCAAAGCTGACAGGCAAGAAAACCAACATGTTAAATTGCACTAATGAGGACTATAAACATGCGCCCTCCGCCAATTTCATGTTTACTAGGTCACCTCTCGGAGTAGATTTGTGTTATTACAATGGTTAAAAAAACCCTAACAAAATGTTATGAGCAGAATTTTGTTTCTCGCGATTCCAGTTCCTGAGTTCATTTCCATTGTTCATTAAGTAATTATTCAAACATACAGCAGGCCACATGGTACAGTCCTCCCATGGGACTGTACCACCTTAGAATGCACGTGGAATATTATTTGAAAGAAAAAGCTTACTCTACAGGGTGAGGAAATGAGTAAAAATCAGCACAAAAAAAAAAAAAGGCTTCCAGCTCGAGGTTGCAGAAGAGTTTTATGGTGAGGGACTGGATTGTGGTCTGTGGGTCTGAAGACTCGCGCAGTGGACTTCCCCAGCCGATTTCAGCCATTCTCCATACTGAGAAAAGCACAGAGTCCCCCATACTGGGTGTGTCCCAGGCTTTGGGTCGGGTATCGGGGGGGGGGGGGGTGCCATGCGAAGTAGCCCAGCCAGTACTCGGAAGCACCTCCTTGCCTGCAGGAGCTGCCATGCTCCCCAGCTGGGTTGCATAGCAGGGATTCCCTCCTGGGAGGACTCCTCTAGGGGGCGGATGCTGAGGAGGCTGAAGACCAAAGCCCGCTCCGTGCGAGGAGCAGACCCAGGAGGCTCCGCGGGCCAGATCTGGGGCCTCGCAGGCTGGCTCTTCCACACCCCATTCTAGCCCAACCTGGTTGCTCAGGAAGTGATGCTCCTGCAGTGAGACTGACCGGCAACGTTCAAACAAGCACAGGGAGGTGGTCTAATACTGGAAGAGAACAACTCCATCGCTGTTCAACCACATCCCTCGGAGATGGAAGAAGATGGCGCGGGGGGGGGGGCACCTCAGTTTCTCTTTGTTTAAAGAAACAGTGGCTTCACTGCAGGGGAAAAGCACAACCAGATAAGCCGGCAGGAGATCAGAGAGCACCTGCCCCATGGCCATACGGCTAGGGACCCTGCAGTGTCTTGCCCCAGGGCTTGCAGGTGACAGCAGTCCCGGGGGCAAAATGTAGCCCTGCAATTGCCTGTGGGGTCACCGTTAATTCAGCCCCTGCTTCTGCTCTGGTGTGTGGGTCAACACAAGAACCAGGGAGACTGTGAATCCATTTCTCACTGAGCCAAGAAGCACTCTGGACCTACAGCGGAGTCTAGCCTGACCCACCTGACAGGTTTGTTGTGAGGATAAACAGGCAGAGGGAGGCAGGGACACTCTGAGCTCCTGGGAGGAAGGAGGGAAGATAAAGCAGACAGAATGAAAGATGAAAAGACAGTTCGAGGAAGATGCTTTCTTCTATCGGGACTCTCTTCCTGCCCCTTCCCACAGAATCAAGAATTGCAGGGTAAAAAGCCATCTTCTACAGCTTTGCCATGCAGCTTCTCACAGCTCTGCCCAGCTGTGGACTCTCAGCTCAAGACAGTTGTGCATTTGTAACAAACGAGGCCCAACCAGGGCAAAAAAAATCTGCATTTTGTAATAGAAGAAGGCTGAGATGGAATTTGGAGAACTTACTTGCTATCGTGCTTACCATAAATATGCCATTTAAGGGGCAGTCTGCTTAGTTCCCCTCACGTGAAGAAATGATTTTCCCTGCTCAGACGTTTTTACAAAAATATCAACAGCAACTAATATTGCAGCTCTGAAGTGCCAGTCACAGTACATTCTACTGCTTCTGTTCATCTTTCAGTTGAAACAGAGTTAGAAAAATTGTCATAAGAAAAACACAAGATCAGTTAACAACACATAAAAATACATCTTTTTTTCTTTCTTTCTTCCCACCCTGCCCTACCCCACCCCAAACAAAATAAAAGTCTTTTAGAAAATGTGTATCTCCAATATATACAGGAAAAGAGCTTCTTTGCCAGTTTCACTCCTCCATCAAACTCCAGGCCTCTTCTGCTTTCTGGTAGTATTGGTTGGCCAGCCTGCCCTTCATGGCTTGCATTGCCTCCTCAGCAGCTTCCGTGAAGAGCTCACCTGGGAAAACGAGAGAGAGCTCACAGGAAGGCCACAAAAACTGAAAGTTCCTTCACACAGGGGTGCCACACAGTCTCAAGCAACCACCCCTAACGGTGCACCTTCCAGATGTGTCGGGCTACAACAAGGGATGATGGGAGTTGTGCCCCAACACATCTGGAAAGCTCACAAGTTGATCTTTTCTTTCCCCACCATTGCAAGATGACATTGCTAGTGCTGGTGTTGATCAGTGTTAGAGTTCAGCAGTGAAGTGAGTTTAGAAAAAGAAAACACAATTCCCATTTTGCTTTTCTGTTTCCCTGTTTCTTTTAACAAAAAATGGCCTGGACTGGATTAAAAGGGAGGTGGAAGTTTACCAGGGGTTTCCCTGAATAAGGGCCAGTGGCCCAGGAGATCTGGGTTCTAGTCCCCAATGGGCCTTGCAGTTGACTGGGTAACTTTGGGCCAGTTGCTCACTCTGAGCCTAGCCTACCTCATAGGGTTGTTGTGAGGATAAAATGGTACAGAGGAGGATGATTTGTGTGGTCTTGGCTCCCCACAAGAGGAAAAGTGGTGGGATTTAAATGTAGTCACCGTGAGCTGCCACTTTAGGAGACACTTTGAGAGTAATCCTTAAGTAATCCTTGTGAGATTACGATCCACTCCTTTTTCTTGTGTTTTCCTTTTCCCTCTTCTCTGTCTTTCACAGTTCTCAAGGTGGCTCTTTGCAAGTATAGCTGCAAAAATACAGGAGCTTCTCATTCTTTGTACAGTCCGCACTTTTCAAAAATGGTTCCAAAAATGGTTGGGAAAAGCAGAATTGTGTCATGCACAGAGGCCACGATGAAGAACCCCGAGATCACATTTCTGTGCCTCCCAAAACTGGGTCTCTCCTATGGAGGCTTTTATTAAATTGAAATATTCGCCAACTCTTGCTTCTACGATTACTCTTTCTTCTTCTCCTTCCCTGCCTTCATTGAAAGAAAAGATATTTTGCTGTTTTCCCACTGGCCAAAGCACTAGAATCGTAACTGGACTCAGCCTTCTCCCAGGTTAGCATCCGAAGGCTCCTTCCAACAAGCCAGCACCATACCTGATCTCTGCGGGTCCTTGTCCAGATAAAACCCTCCAGTCAGGAGCATCTCAGCTTCCCTTGCCAGGAGGAGATACCGAGGCTCGTCTTGAGTTCCATCGTATTCCCCTCCTTCATCGTAATCGGTCATGTTCAATGCAGCATTGTACCAATACAAGGCTTCCTTCCAGTCCTGGTGTCTGAAGAATCATAGGACAAAAGCAAGCATGAATAACTCGAGGAGTCCTATGTGGGGGGAAGACTTAAATTTTGTTTGCAGCTATTTGTTCCAAATTTTGTTTGCAGCTATTTGTCTTAATGATGGAGTCACCCACCAAAGCCTACAAGAACAGGACAACGTTCCCTCAATGGATTTTAACTCTCTGACCTGGAAGTTTTAGCTAGGAATCTTAGCTTTATAGACAAAGATGATCTGTGTTGAAACATGCTTTCTTTCTTTGGGCATATAAAGCACTCAGAGAGCTATTCCTATGGAAATACTGGGGTGCTTTTGTGCATAGGGTATATTTGCTTTATAATAATAATAATTTAAAGTCCATAGCCATGTTCTAGAAGAACAGATGGCCAGCAATATTTACGTGTAAATTGCAGTGCAGAATGTAGCTACAGAGATGTCAATTACGCCAAATTGCAGGATGCTGACCTATCAGGAGCAAGACTGAGTCCGGTATCATACGCTCTTGCAACGAGGATCATGGAAGGACGATCTCCAGCTTCTGCTGCTCTGAGTAAGTAATCAAAGCCTTTGATCCTATTTTCCTCACTGTCCTATGGAAGCAACACAGGAGGGCAACAAAGAGCCGACACGATTGAATAATACTGGACCTTATTATAACAGACACAAAAAGATCAAGCTGAGGCAGACGGATTTCTGTTTGGCAGCTGGCTCTTCTCGAAGATAATTTTAATGCTAGATATGGTAGGGCAATCGTGATGCAGAAATTTGGGAGGGATGCAAGGCCTCAGGTGAGTCAGTATGGGACCCAGACAGCCTCCCTGTGTCCCTTTTTTATGTATACACAAAACATTCGATATCCACTGAAAAATGGATGTTGTGTTTCTGGTTTCACACAAAGGACACACCCTACTTCCCTTCATGGGAAGGCCACAGGTAGGTCAGATTCCCGGCAGTGCCCTCAGGAAACGGGGCTTCAACTTTGGAGTGCCTTCGCTCTGCCCTTTCAGGGGTTCTTTCCACGAAAGGCCAGTGCAGGAAGGGGGCTTCTGAGGAGCGGGGAGGGGAGGAGCAAGGCACCTCTCTCCTCTGAGGAATCCTGATGACACCTTCCTTCCTCTTGAGGAGAGGGGAACATTTAGACGGATGGATGTTTTGGAGGGATGGGAATGTTCTGGACGGGGAAGGTTGCTTCAAAGGTCACGGGCAGTCGCCCGAAATCGTGAAAACAGAAGCTCAGCGGCAAAGCTGTGCAAAGGTGCCAGTCGGCGGTGGAGCCAAGTTGCTGACCTCTAGAGTGACCTCGGAAAGAATGTGATGTGGCAGCTGCGAGTGCATGAGCCCCAACCCAATGATGGCCTCCAGTTCTCCACAGTCGGCTGCGTGCTCCAGGTGAAAAATGGCCGATTCTTTATCCCATTCCTGGTCTTTCTCGCAGAAACGCCCGGCTTCATGGTAACGGACCATGGCCAAGTGGACCTAGATGGGAAACAAGAGAAAGCGAGCGAGCGAGCGAGAGAGAAGAAATCAGAAAGGAAAGTAATTCAAATGGCACACGGTAGACATGTCACATGTCACAAGCAGGAGCCGGCTGGAGCCGGAGGTCAGACTAGATGGCCCTGGAGGCCCCGTCTGACTCACTCAGTTTCTGTGTTCCAAATAAGATAGACCTGATGGCCCACTATGGACTCGGCTCCACAAAACATTAAAACACCCAATTACGGTTATCTGTTCTTACATGGACATAATTGTGCTCACTAATCCAGAGCGCTAGTCTGGACCACACCTGCCTAACTTCAGCAATTGTAAAGAACCAGGTGCATCTCACCCACTGACTGAGCCTTGTTTTGATGCAGCTCTGAAGGAGCCGTTTTCACCTAAGGCTGCAAGATACTATCTGGGAGCAGATTCAGAATCCCATTTTAATATCGCTTGGGAAAAGTTTGGCTTTCTTTCTCCTGTTCACTAGGTGGAAAGAGCCGAATGAAATTGCAGTCTAACTAGGTATATCTCACCTTCAACCACTATGCATTTATGGTTATGGAAGAGTCTGCCTGATGCATGCCAATGACTCCGGGTTGTTTAAAGGGTTAAACTAATAAGGGTTATTCTCAGGAACAAACCATGGGTGACTGCTGGGTTAATTCTGTGTTATATACTCCCAAAGAAGCCATGATCCCTGGGTTTGGATGTCATAATGCCAGCTCAGGAAGGGGTTGTTCCTGGGCTGTTGATAAAAACAGAAGTGATGAACACTTAATCATCCCCAGGAATTCCTGGGTTAAATAACAAGACAACCCATGGTTTAAAACTGTTATTGTGGCAATCTCAACTCATCATGTCCAAGAAATAAGGCCTTTTTGTTTTACTAATTCCAAGCTGTGTAGGAATTGCTCTGAAGATGAGGAAGGGGTACTCTGGGAGGGGGCTTCCTTCCTGTGCCTTAAAGGGTTGTGTGGGGGGAGAAGGTGCAATATTTCTAGCCTGGCCTTCGGCAAAGCCAACATCTTCACAAAAACAGCTATAATTAATTGCAGCGCGCATGTTCACTACTTTCCTAAGCGCAAGACCAGTCCTGTCCTATCTAGGTGAAGGGACATGCAACTGATACGAAGCCCTCATTCTCTCTGGAGGGCGAGTCATCATCTCAGATGATCGATCGTTAGTGTCTGCTGGATGCAAGAGAGTGTGGTGCTCAAACCTTCCCAAGGATGGATTTCCCAATTTTCTTCTCAAGCTCCAAGGCATTGAGTCTCTGCACTTCCACCGCCACGCAGGAGGGTCTGTGAATGTGAACTCTGGCAGCATTGTACAGATTCCATTTCTCCACACTGACCTAAAACAGGGCGAATGCATCAGGACTTGAGTTGGAAACAAAAAAGGAAAGAAAACGAAGGAAAAAATGTGCTTTCCTAGCGACAAAGCCTGGACCGAACCCTTCTCAAGCTCTTGTTTTGATCAACAAATCTGCTTTCAAAATAAAAACATACAAATAGCGAAAGATATGCTGCTACACCAAACCTCAGAGCTGCAATCTTGTATAGGCTCTTTTTGCAAGCAAGTCCCACTGACTTCAGCAGCGCGGGACTACAATGGAGTTCTCCTTCCACAACCAGAATTTCTGGTAATTGTGGGGAACTGATAGGTCACACCCACAAACTCCTGGTATAATGCAGGTCTACACACTCAGAAGTGTGGAAAGTGCCCCTAGAAATTTCACATGCCTGCATCGAATAACTTTGTGGTAACAGCAACAAGCCAACTGCACAGCTAACATTGGTTCCATGTGAAGCTATTTAAAACTGGTAGGAGGAGAGGCACCCCCGGATGAAAATGAGTGGCAGTGTTGCAAAACTGCATCTGATACTCTGAAGTAGGGCTTCTTAAACTGCCCTGAGTCTGCACTTTCCCAATTCTCAAAGGAAACCGCAATTAGGTCATATTACCAATGAAGTACCATTACTGGTTTTTTCCAGATTTAGTAATTTGATACTCTGAAAAATGAGTAGCTGGTCTTGAAATATCTGGGAAGGAAGAAATGTCTGGATTGCTTCCCCATTAAATTACTGCAAACCCAGGCCATACATGGGTTATAGATTAGTACGGATGAATGAACTTAGTAATTTGGGGCTCTCTCGGTGTCTAATTTTCCCCATCTTAAATTCCTTCCATTCCATTTCTGCATTACTTCGTGACTTAAAAAAAGAACTATGTATTTTATGCACACATTTTAGTTGGAAGTGATTTTCCTTAGTATAATGTGGTTTTGTATGCTTTCCCTCTCAAATATAAACAATGTTGTGTGCATCCTCCTTTGACATGTGTTTTCATATGGATTTTTTTGGTTATTGTTCAAGGAATTGCCTCACAGAATCCTGAAAAGTGAGGAAGCATGGATTTAATAAGAAGTGCAAATATGGTAGGAAATGTAAACCAAAAAGAAGAAAGAAAATGAAAAAAAGAAGAGAGAGAGAGAAGGAAGAAGGAAGAAGGAAAAAAAAAAGCTTCCCCGTCCATGTAACAATGCTGCTTCAATGGAATGCAGGCAAGCTTTCAAAGCAAGAAGTTACACCCTTAACCAGAACTCCTTCATGTATAGCATAAAACCACAGTAGTTAAATAAAAGTACCACTTCCAGGCCTTGATCTGCCTAAGCATTTAAGCACATGTTCATATTTCAGCCTTGAGATGAATCCCAAAGTAGCAACATGCTTAAGCCAGATGGACTAGAGCCTTGAAGAACGATTTAAAATGAACTCCATCTAATTGCTGTGGGTGCCAGGCAAAGGCAGGCTGGCTAAAAGCACACTGCTCTCTCTGCAGGCCTTGCCAAAACTCAGGCTGCAACCTGGCAATAACATTTATGAATATAATTCTAAGGTGTTTCCCCATCCACAGCAATATGGGTGAGTGGAAACTCCCCGGGCAGAGCAAGACTTCCAGCGAATAGCCAGTGCTTATTTCTGTCATTTAACACTGAATTTCAAGGGTGTTATAAGCAAACAGAAATGCATTTGCATCACCATAACGGTTTGTTTCAAAGCGATGATCTTCAAACTTCTTAAAATCTGGATTGATTTCATGGTGGTTTGTAATGGAGAAGCACAACTTTCCTTCCATTCAAAATGAGCTGCTAGCTGTTCAGAATTATAAACGAATGTTTCAGAACAAGCTACATTTGTATAATAGTATTGATAATGATGAAGTCCATCCCTTTTGCTTTATGGAAGAAAATAAGTAGTACTGATTTTAACAAAACTCCCAGGAACTGTAGTCTGCAAACTTTCAAACGTCATGGATAGAATGGAAGCAGCAGAATACAACACAAACAAAATGTAACAACCGGAAGAAATCAAAGGCACAAAAGCCACGTAACACAGAAATTCATGCAGATTCACCCGTTTACTCCAGGGGCTGGTTTTAGTGGTCACAGAGGGCTTATTTACAACAGCATTTCTCTAATTGAAAAGGGAAAGAAGGTAACAAAGTCAAGGAAAACAGAGCGTAAGTCACGGTGAAATACAGTAACTCAGAGAAAAAAGAAATGCTTGTATGAGCACATGTGTTGCATGAGGAGCAAAGCTTGGAATGAAAGGAGCAAAGCAGAACAGCCAGAGGTAATCTGTTGGCAAAAATAATGCTTTATTTACCCTTGCAGAGCTGCCCAGACTGTCTTCATCACATTCATGTCTTCGGTTGCAGTTAGAATGCCCCTAAATTAAAGGTTTAAACAAGTGCACGATTGAATCATATTAGCCAAGACCTTTAAAGCAATTTAGCAATATATTTTTGCAAGCGCGTAGTTCTCTGCAGTAACACTGTGGAGAAAGTCATGCTTTTTCCCTTCCTTGCTCAGCTGGAGTGACTAGAAATTAGGCCCAGGCGAGCGGACGTGTACAAGGAAGGCTCCCCCTTTCTCCATTTCTTCCTATTTGTATCAGGGACAGCTTCAGATAGAGATGCTGGAGGGCTCTGCAATGAATTCCCGTGAGTTTGCATTTCCAAGAATCTAATCAGCAGCCTTGGCATGTGCCTTGGCTTTTCCCAAGTTGACAGATTCTGGGACTTGCGAACTTTTTGCTTTTGTTTTTACTTCCCATTCCTAGGGGGATGGGGGAGAACTGCATGGGGGATCAGATGAGGCTGGGGACTTAGGGGCACAGATTGGAGTCACCCCCCTAGAAGTCGAGGGGCTCCTCAGGGCACTGGACATTGCAAAGGCGCCGGGCCCTGACCGGTTACACCCGAGGGCGCTCCGGGACTTGGCGGGGGTTCTCCCGCGCAACGGGTGAGGTTCCAGAGGACCGGAGGGTGGCGTCAGTGGTCCCAATTTTCAAAAAGGGTAGTAGAGGGGACATGGGGAATTACAGACCAGTGAGCCCTAAGTCCTTTGTAGGAAAGCCAATGGAAAGGCTCTCTTGCAGCAAGAGAGGAAATCCTGAAGCATTGGTGTGTCTTAATTTCTGCCAGTAGCACAACTCAAACCAAGCAAGTTACTTATACAAGTACCAGAATTCAAACACACACACACACACACACTTAAAGGAGGTGATGGGGTAGCTGTTTGCAGTTATTCCCTTTCTGCTCGCTATTCAAATTGAATTGTACGAGTTACACGAAAAACAAAACCGGAATTAGGAAAGGCCTATTAAATCTAGAATAAAATGTGTTACTTTTTCTCGGTGGTCCATGTCTTCTTGTTCACTCCTCTTTTCACTGGGGTATCCGCTGTCACCTCCATTTTCACAGTCCTAGGGAGAAAGAAATGATAAATCAGCAGTACTTGCTGTGATCCCTCAACATATGAAGCAGGTACAGATATCTCTGTTTAGTGGATGAAGCGATCTATTTCCAAGACAGACATCATCATACATTTATATTTCAAATGCGTGCCTAGCCCTGCGTTTGAACTGCAAAGCTTTCCCAGCTTGGTCCTTTCTACTTGGACTTCAACTACCGTCACTTCCAGACAACCTGGCCAATGGTCAGGGATGCTGGGAATTGTAGGACAAAACATCTGGGGTGTACTGGCTAGGGGAAGACTGCCTTAAAAAGAAATCCATTTGTTATGACTATGTAACCAGCTCACAATAGCACAAAAAATGGAACATCAAGCATCTATGAAGTGGTAGGAACTTTAAACCTGGGGGCTGGGAGAACAGGCAGTACCTCAAGAACGTTGCTTGTTATTATCTAAATGCCTGTGCAAGGAAGCTTGTGAAGCTGTTCCAGACAATATATGCTTTCTGACCAGAAGCAGAATAGCAACGTTCTTAGACAGACAGACAGACAGACAGACGGAATAATAGACAGACAGGCTGATCGACATGAACTTACCCTTTGATTGTCAAGGACATCATGATCTTTATGAACCAAATCGTCAACTTCATTGAATACTGGCCAATCTAGGGGGAAGAAGGGAAACACAGAGGTTATATTTATCTCTAGAAATGGACCTTTGATTGCCGAAAGAATTGAGCGAGCTGCATAAACTCCTTGCCAGGAAGCATTTCCATGAAAATATCTTCAGCCTGGTTAACTCTGTTTGAGCTACATTTGTAATTTGGACACCCGCTTCTCCACGTTCCCCTATCCTTCCTTGAGTGTGGTTCACGCTTAGTATGAAGACCAGGAGAGTAAGGCCAGGGGGGATTTTTCTCTTTTCCTGCCTCTTCTTCCATCCTTTCGTCCTCCCTCCCTCCCTCCCCATCCAGCAAGCTTCTGCCAGAGGTCTGAATGGCTCATCGGTGCTTTGTCCCCTGGTTCTGGAACCCTGCATTACCCAGCAAGAATTTAAAAGATGGCTCACAGGTCACCCCTCCTCAAAGGCAGCCCTCAGCACCCCTTTCTGTACTTTCCAACCCGAAGGGGTACTTGTCCAACCGCTGCTTTAAGATGCTTAACCTGCCTCTCAGCCGCACTGCAGAAGCGGACACTGGTCCTTTCAGAAACACACTCGGCACCTAGAGGGGGTGAAAGCACTGGAAGAGGAGACCTTGCCAGCCCTGCTGAAGCTTCAGCTGACCTTTGCTGGGACAATAGCTCCTTCGGGGAGAATGCTCCAGCCAGCACTTCCTCCAGGGTGCTCTCCGAGGCCCTGATGTGAGCCAGCCCTGCCTTGCCTGACCTGACCCAGACTGAGCAGGGAGCGCTGGGTTGCAGTCCACCCCCGCTCCCCCGGGAGCAGTCAGGACAAGCTGCAGAGTCCTTCCCTCCCCTCTGGCCAGCTATGCTGCCTTTGCGATGGAGAAGGAGCGGCAAGCAGCCGTCATTAACACAAGACATCCACAGGGCCAGCTATTAAGGACAAGAAAGACCCTCTTGCTTTTTATCTGGCTGTGAGAGAGACAGGCAACACCAGCAAGTAATTTTGTATTAAAAAGACAGCAGCAACAGGAAGTGAGCCATCTCCAGTCAGGACCAGCTGTTGCAGGTCACCACGCACAGTCAAGGTACGTTTAGCTTTCTGCAATGCTTTGTAACAGAAAACGTAATAGCAGAGAACATTCGATTATTTTTGTTCTTCGTTATCATGAACTGCAAGTCTTTTGAGGGTGACTGTTATTGAAACGTTTGCCCCCAGGCTTGTCTATACAAATTTGAACCTCTTGACAGAGGTTTATCTGATATTTTCAACACTTTTGTGTCTCTCTGATAAAGCCCTAACAAACCGGGCCTTGTTGTTTGGTCATCAGGAAAATTTTATATTTTTCATTAGGAAGTCAGCTAATTAGGGAAATGACTCATGCTAAGAAGTTGATCCCAAACAGAATCCCCCTCCAACCTTCCCAGCCAGATGGAATTAGCACTACCCTCAGGATGGGTGCTGGAGGAGACTCCTGCGAGTCCCTTGGACCACAAGGTGATCAAACCGGTCAGTCCTAGAGGAGATCAACCCTGACTGCTCTTTAGAAGGCCAGATACTGAAGATGGAACTCAAATACTTTGGCCACCTGATGAGAAGGAAGGACTCCCTGGAGAAGAGCCTAATTCTGGGAACAATTGGTGGCAAAAGAAGAAGGGGGCGGCAGAGGATGAGGTGGCTGGATGGAGTCACTGAAGCAGTCGGCGTGAGCTTGAGTGGACTCCGGGGATGGTGGAGGACAGGAAGGCCTGGAGGAGTGTTGTCCATGGGGTCGCGATGGGTCGGGCACGACTTCGCGACTAACAGGATGGAGCTTCAAATCCAAACCCGGAATGGATGCAACTCAATTGGTCGGCTTGTTTGATCTGAAGCTGGATACTAGGCCTGATCAATTTATTAGCGGTATGATGGTGTTTCCTTCGAGCCACACACAGCCTTCTTCGCTCATCTCAGAGCAGGCTGGCCTTTGGCATTTCAGCTAAGAATTTCAACCCTGCCTCTTCTTCTGGTCCAGATTCTGAGGCAACCAGCTTGGAATGGTGCATTTTGGGAGAAGTGGGCCAGTCCTACACAGAGAACTTACACAGAGGGTCGAGACCACATATTATGGCAGGCTACTTACGAAGATGCTCCAGTTTGTGGCTGTGTGGTGTCGCTGAAGAAGGGGAAGAGGGCAATGAGTCGAACGCCACATCGCTCATGCTTTCATCCCCAGAGTTTTCAGACAAACGGAAAAGCAGAGGAGGCCGGCTGCCGGAGATGGTTCTTACGCGGCTGCTTCCGCATTTTTCTTCTGTTCCTCGCACAACAGTCTTAGCAAATTCCTTAATAAAAAGAAATAGGGAAATGTTCAGTCTTCGGGTCCATGGTTTCTCTTTATTGTATTTTAAAACAGAAACTCTGACCTAGTGACATGTTCTAGGCATGGATGGTTTCATAGAATCCTAGAATAGTAGAGTTGGAAGGGGCCATGAAGGCCATCGAGTCCAGCCCCCTGCAGTTGCGGGACACCACGTCACACCCTCCCACTCTGAGGGCTGCCCAGTTTCTTTTTGATACTTTCCTCAAAGCTGGCCTGTCCCCAGTAGATTCCCCATTTCCCCCCTGTCCTTATGAAGAAGGTATCAAGGAGCTGTTCATTGGTTTATTATATTTATATCCCATGTTTTTCCTTCCAAGGAAGTCAGAGTAGCTAACCTAATTCTATTCCACCTCCGCCCTTCATATCCTCACAACAACAGAGAGCCAGTGTGGCGTAGTGGTTAAGAGCATGGGACTGGGACTCAGACGATCCGGGTTCGAGTCCCCGCTCAGCCATGGAGCCAACTGGGTGACTTTGGGCCAGTCATAGACTCTCAGCCCAACCTACCTCACAGGGTTGTTGTTGTGGGGATAAGATGGAGGAGGAGAATGATGTAAGCTGCCTTGAGCCCTTTGAGGAAAAAGGCAGGATATAAATCAAAAAAGAAACAAACAAACAAACAACAACCCTGTGAGGTAGGTCGGGCGAGAGTCTGTGACTGGCCCAAAGTCATGCAGTGCGCTCCGTGGCTGAGTGCGGACTGGAACCCAGATCGCCTGTGTTCCCATCCCAGCACTCTTAACCACTACACCGCTCTCAGTGGGATCCAGAACAGTTGAGCACATGGGTGGATGAAGGAGAGATGATTTCTCAACAAAGCCACATAACACAGGAAAGTCAAGCCATCCAATTCCCTTTTCAGTGACTGGGAGTCCCAATAGAGCAGCCACAGAGACTCCAGAAAATGGCCAGCACACGGCACCTCCACAGTCTGGCCTGAAGGGAGATATTCTGCTTTGGGCCTCCCTTAAAACAGGCTGCGGCAAATGGACAGCAGCCAGCTTCCTATTTCTCAGGAATCCTCCCACATTCCAAGAATCCTCCCCATTCTAAAACAGCATTTTCTTTTGGCAAGAGGCTACGTTTGATGAGATACGACACCTGCAACTCATCCAGTCCCAAAGTCCTAAGATCTCTATCAAAGGATGCAACACAGAAAGATCTGTTTCTGTCACACCCACTGCCTCCTCAAAATACAATTGCAACTCCCGTGTGTTAGAACAACAACACTGCCAAACCGGATCTTTCTTTCTTTAACAGAACTCTGAGCACACGAAATTTTGCATTTCAAACTCATTTAAAACATCGCAACTCCAGGCATGGAAGGATAAAACAGGCCTTGTTTCTGGTGCCTCCATCACCTGCTGCTCTCTGGGTGCTCATTCGGGGCTTGTGTGGCCTAGACATGGAGCAAAGATCCATCTCTAGCTGCGTCACCAGCCACAAGTAGGACATGCCCCCTTCACTGCACCCTTTTGCTCAGGTTCCTTAGTAACCAATATACATAAATATACTGTCTCTGATACTGGAGGAAACATATAGCCATCCTAGTGGTAAGGCTATATGTTCTAATTACCACCTTTTAACTGACGCATACAACCAGGGAATTTCCATACTCAGAATAAACACTGCTGCCTTCATCATCACTGTGATAAATGGACTGCTTTGGATGATCATAAACCAAGTTTAAAAAGCCACAATACCCAAGTTCTTTTTGGTTGTATATACAGCCCCTTCGCCTGCCCCTTCATTGCAGAAGCAAACGAATCAGGAGCATTTGGTTTAACTCTAGTCTTCTCTTGCATCTAAACTGAGAAACTCTGCTGAACAACGATAATAACTATGCTTAATAGCTACGTTTGGATCAAGGCAGGATAGGGAGTTAACGTCAAACTCTGGTTTCACATCTTGGCTTGTTCCAAAACTGTTAATTATAGTTTCCTGGTTAGGACAGAGCAGGAAAGTATGGTTAACGAGAGACACCTTGGCTCCTTTACAGGATGTGACTATGAGTGCAGGAGAAATATGACCATCTGAATGCGGTGCCACTCGCAAAGCCAGCACTTTATACCACCACATAAATGTCAAGTATTTTTAACCCATATTAAACACTTTGCCTCATTAGAGGCTTCACTTTTAAACAGGCTTTGATAAGTTGCTGCAGGCCTTACAGAGAACCTCGTTGCTTCTGCAGAAAGAACTCACAAGCTGCTTGTTGTTCCTCAGCAAGGCATCCTTCTCTTTCGAGGAGAGGTCGAAAGGCATCAGTCCCATGCTTTGGCAAATCTTGTTGCAGGAGTGAGAATGGAAGAACAAGGCCATCCCCCGGACACCTGGTGAGATCAAAAGAAATGCATGGAAAAATCGTTTTAATGTGCAAAATCTAAAACCCTCCCATGGAATTGTGCAGGGAATTCCCCATGTGCACAAGGCTATAAAACTTGCAAAAAAAAAAAAAGTTCCAAGTGAGGAAAAAAAGAGGATACCCATGACTCATATATGCTAAGTAACAATCCTATTATTTATCTGCCTGTTTGTTTGTCCCATTTTTAGACTGCCCATAGCCATGGCTCGTTCTTGACTCAGGATGGCCAACAGAGCAAGCCAGTGAGGACAGAGAGAGGTGGCTTTACGATCTCAGATTACATGAATGAGGGCATCTTCCACATTTGGAGTGCTCTGGGTACCCAGCTGAGCACAGGAGGAGCCTCCCTCCAAAAATAAATGGGGATGCAGCCAACTCTGGCACTCTTTGGAAAAAAGGAAGCTGAAGGGACAAAACCGCCAACGTGGCTTGCAATCGTAGGAGGGGGTTTCAAGCAGAGTCAGACATCCCCAGGTGCCCCTTGGGTGACCGGTGCTCTCAGGTGCCCCACCAAGCTTAGCAAAAGCAACAAGCCCCTTTTTTTTGCTGCTTCTGCCAGGTGAGCAGCTTCCTGTCTCCTGGTATCCATGATGAGGATGTTTGCCAGGGTTCCAACAACATGACAATCCATCATGGGTAGAATAACCCCTACAAGAACCCATGGCTTGTAAGAATGCCTTATTGCCCTTAAACAAGTCACCCTGGAGGAATCGATCTGGGTCACCTAACACAAGAACCCATTGAGGATCTAGCAGCACTTTCCTAACAAACTACTACAAACCTCCAAGCCCCTACAAATCAAATTGCCTAATTAATGATCAGTTCAGCTCTTACCGAGGTTGCCATCTCCAAAGTCTGTGCCACTCTCTGTGTGGATCTGAGGGTCTGTGTAAAGGTCTCCAACTCCTTGAATGTCGACAATGATCAACTGGTGTCCTGAGCGTTCAAATGTGAAATGGCTGAATGCCTGCAGAGAATTGCAAGCGTCATCAGCCAAAGGAGAAGACGGTCAGGTGTGGCTTAGCTGTTAGGCTTGTGCTTGGGCAGCCAAAGAGTGAGTCACCTGGACAGTGTTTCACGTGGGAAGCTGTTTGCAGCAGGCAGTGTCCTGCATATGGTAACATACGCGTATGGTCCACCTAGCCCAATACAGCCAACACTGACTGGCAGCAACAGCTCTCCAGGTTTACAGGCAGGATTTTCCCAGCCCTACCTGCAGAGGAAGGGATCGCACCTGAGACGTGCAAAGCAGCGCCACCACTCCCAAAATGCAGGGCCATAACACCTGGGACAAAACTGGCTGTGGTGCACAGGAAGTCAGAACATTGAAAGCTGCTTCCCACACAGAACGTTTGGTCACCAAGTGCTACAAGCCACCCTGGCTGGGGATGATAGGAGTTGCAGCCCAAGTCATTTCAAGAGAGGAAGGTGGTGGCTGGAGTGGTCCCAGATGATATAGCAGTGAGAGACACGGGACGTCTGATTTAATTGTGAGGACAGCAAACATGCTCATTTTTCTAACTCAGATTTAAGGAAACCCAAACAGTTCAGGGGCCGTTTAAGCTGAGAAGTGAAAAAACTGGAATAATTCCACAATTCTGTTTATAAGGGTTGCGATACGACACAGTCCTAGATGACCTGCATGTATGGAGGGCCTTTAGTTCAGGGACGGAAGTAGGATCAGCCCCAGGATTGTGGCGCAAGGGCGCCATCTAGCTTGCAGTCCCACCCTGCCTGAGCAGTCAGCCAGCTGACCCCAAGAGGGCCAATCCCCGCCCACTGCTCCTTATAAATGCCCGGCCTCGGACCTTGCTTCTCAATCCAAGCCCCTTGTCTCTCAAGCGAGGATGCTGCCTGAGAGCTCGCTCCCCTTTTCCGAGTGGTCCCTTTGGGCCAGGCACCTGCTTCTGGGCCCCGGGGCTGACACTGCCGGCTCAAGAGGAAAAGGACAGCCCGCTCGGCCAGTCTCACCTGTGGGGTGAGGCGAATGTTGTCGTCCCGTACGAATCCTGAGTTCGAGTTGTATTTGATGTACTTGCCCTCAATGTAATGTTCCAAGTGGAAAAGAGGTTTGCCCGGCCTATTATGCATTTCGATGATGCAGGTCTGAACTATATCCACCTGGGAAGAAACGGAGTGTTAACAAAAGATGCCCCCCCCCCCACTTAAGCCAAGTTGGAAATCGGACAGTGCTGACTTGGAATGGGCCAAAATCTGGGTTCTTCATGCCACCCATACTGTGGTTTGCTTAAACAACACTTCGTGAGAACAAGACAGGATCAAACAGTGGTTCCAGATGCTGACTTGTTCCGAAACTATAGTTTAGCAAGCCACAGTTTCTGGAATTTGAACATTTTGGGAAATTGCCAAATTCCCATTAAGCTGCTGGTAAAACCGGATTTCTCTGTAATACCTAATTAACATGAACCTCAATAGGATTGCACAGATAAATCCAACAAGAGTTGATGTGAAAGTGAACATAATACCTGTTTGGGGGGCTTGTGCCTGTTGTATTCTTCTCCCCACAGCTTGGCCTCCATTTGGAGTCGTACATCCTCAAAGTAGACATCCCTGTTGACTGTTTCTATGTATCGCTTAGCCACATAGTTAAAGGCACCTTTCCAATTCTGAGTGTGCAAAAAATTAGACAGCTTTTTTCTGCAAGGAGAAGAAAAATGATGCAGAGGTTGGACTCGGTGTTCATTGAAAACACGACAGCATGGGAGCCTCCTCAATGTTAAGATTTTGACTGGGTTCAGACAACACAATAACTCACATTTAAGGGTAGAGTATGGGTTGAACTGAATTGTGGCTTGTTGCTGAATTATTGGTATTGTGTTATCTGAACCAGGCCAAGATCACAAACCATGGTAGAAAATCAAGAAGTCTACAATTCAACCATAAACCATGGGTTATTTTCATGGGCTGTCTGTGGTTAACAAGCCATGGGGTGTTAGCACAGTTAACTCCTGTTCAACAGTCCATGGTTCAATGACCACCCACATTCAACCAATACACAACTCCTGAGGGTGGGTTATCATGACATCTGAACGTAGTCGCTAGGTGCTGTGGGGGTTTTGATACAGCGCCATCCCAGAGCCTCTACAACAATGGTAGGTAGGCAGATTTCAGGCTTGCCAAAACGATTTTATTTTTTATTAGAATGCCGGAGTCCAGAGCCAGGTGCAAACTAGTGGCTCAGGTGGGCACTTGTATATAATTTTACTTATATCTTGTCTTTCCACTTCAAAACGTCACAAAGGACAATCCAGAAAATCAGATCAAAACAAACATTAAACTCAGACAGAAACGTTAAAAACACGATAAAAGGCAATTAAGGAAATAAACAGAACTTGGCAGACGACCAGCTATGCCAATAACTGCTAATACGCTGGGCAGCACATGTGCTACGGATGAACAAGCGACATGCCTTTGACTATGTGCTCAGTCCAGAAATTTATGAATTCATAAAACCAGAATTAATGCGCTCCTGGTTTCGCACACATAACCCCTATCAGCTGGTGTTGTTGTACTGAACAAATACAAGCAATGCAATTTGCTTGGGAGCCACCCCAGTGGGGCTTTACTTCTGTGGTCTATTATTTCCACATTTGCTCAGGCCGCATCCAGTCTTTTCACCAGTTCCTGGATGGTCCTCCACAAGAGAGAGTGACTCATACACGGAAAAGGGCTTTCCACCTCTATGGAATGCGGCATTCTGGACTTTTCTGGACTTTTTAATTTGTATTTCCATCTGAAATATGACATATGAGACTCAAACACTTAGTCACACGGCCAGCAAGCACATGTGAAACAAAAAGAAGCCGTTATTTGCAGTGTTTTAACTGAGAGGAAATGTCCCATTTCTCGACTGATAAGCAGAAGGAACTGCAGTTCCCACCCAAGATCGGTGCTTCACACAGTAATTCTATGACTGTCTACCAAGAAGCAAGTTCCACCGTGTCAGCCAAACATACTCCATGGTAACATGACTGCAGACTCAGTGATGTTAATGAAGTAGGAACTGAAATTCCAAACCTCGAGTTTCAACCCAAAAGATAATGAGTAAATGTCAGAATCCAGCACTCGTGTAGTCATGGGTTTTATTCTACATACTCGTAACTTACCCCTTTCTGGGGGGCAGGGGGAATGCAACAAAAAGTATTGTGGTACTTTAGCAGCAGACTTCCACAACTTGGTGCCCTCCATTTGCTTTGGATTCTAACTTCCATCAGGCCCAACCAACATGGCCCAGGATCAAGAATGCTGGGAGTTGTCATCCGAAACACTTGGAAGGCTTCTGGTTGGGTTAGGGTGTTCTAAATCAATGTTGGTTGAGTTCAGACAACACAATAAAGCACACTCGATGTTCAGTATGGAATGAGTGTGAGTTGATGCTGAACCATGGGTGTTGCTGAAATGTGGGTTATCGTACCGTCTGGACCCAGCTGAGACGACAAACCATGGTTTGTTAACCACAAACAACCCACAGTTCACACCTCAACAACGAACTATGGGTTATTCATGCACTGTTCGTGAATGAACCATGGTTGTTTTGCACAGCACAGCTGAGTTCAAACAACAAATAATCCACTTTTTAACAACAATATGTAAACTGCCCAGACAGCTTCAACTATTGGGCAGTAGAGATATTAAATAAATACCCATGGTTCACACTCAACCTATACTCAACTCCTGATTATGGGTTATCATGTCACTTGACCCCAGTCATTCTGAATTATGGCTGATTCTTCAGGGACTTCATGGGAAGCATTTCCAGTTTACATAAAACCTGTAGATTAAAGCAGACACAGTCTGCATGGAAAGCGTAAGTTCTAGCAATGTTTTGGGTCCCTCCGTATGTATTCTGTGTAAGTCTCACCACAACGACACCGAGCATGATGCTAACAGGGGAACTTTATACAAAATTAATAAATAAACCAATGGTCACCCTGCAAAACCGCATGCTTTGTGCATGCACCAGGGTTTTATTTTATTTATTTATTAAAACATTTCTATGCCGCCCCTTGCCGAGGCCTCGGGGCGGCTTACAACATCAAATAAAATACAAAATACATTAAAAAATGGGTTGGGAACTGGATGCTACTTCTCAGTCTATGGGATCCCCGCCATGCAATGATTTATAAACCTGTAGGACTGTCACTTGTTACGATGCACATACAGGAGCTACAGTTTCCTACACAGAAGATTACTTCCACGTAGGATTGTGCAATGTGTAAAATAATCCTGAATCAGTAGCCCATTTTAGCTATTCCTATGTTACAAGAAACACCTCATATTCCTCTTGTGCTGTTCTTCTCCCTCCAATGCACAAACTGTGATGATTGGACTACAACTGACTAAGCTCATGGGATGGAAGGAAAATGATTCTCCCCATCAGCAGCACACAGACCAAACACACTTCCAAGCAGTGGAAGACTTACGTTCTGAAGCATTCCCGCATCGCTCCTCGACCAAAAGGCTGGGGGAAAAATATAAAGATGATCAGGTATTATTTATTATGTATTTATTTATTTGGGATATTTCTAACTTGTCCAATCACTATGCATCTCTGGACAGCTTACGAACAAAATTCAGTAAATACAACAGTACAAAATATTATATAATACTCCAAATGGTAATAAGACTAATAACCCACAACTGACGTAAAACATAATTAAAATTTTTTAAACATTAAAATACTGGGTGAATAAAAAGGTCTTGACCTGGCGCCGGACAGCATATAATGTCGGCGCCAGGCAGACCTCGCTAGGGAGCAAATTCCACAGCCAGGGTGCCAGCACAGAGAAAGCTAATTATTAGGTATTAGAAACTAATTTATAACAGAAAAGCCTGAATGTACTACAAAAATTAACCCTGGAATAAATTCTAGACTTGCATGCATCCAAACAGTGATCTGTACAAATTGCACCAGTAATGTCTGAGCCACATCTTTTTCAGGGACTTATCTGATGTTTATGAGCAGCTAAAATAACATGCTAATTCTATTGTAGAAAGATTGCAGTCTGTCTCTGAGATGGAGGTCTATGCTATTTATCATGCCCTGACGTTCTAAAAAAATATAAATGGTCAGCAATGAGATGTAAATAGATAGAAAAGGGGCATGCTTGAGTTCACCTGTGAAGCCATTTTGATCAGAACCTCATCTTCAACCCACTCCCCGGTAACAGCGTTGTACCTGCCAAATTAAAACAGAGAAAACAGTCTTGATTGTTAAAAATGCACAGAGGAAGAATAGGTGATTGCCATCTATAAACCCGCTCAGCTAGCCGTTCTAACTTTGCAAAAGATGGTTAATGTGTGGTGCTTAGGAGACCCTGGTTCCATCCCCGTTCAGCCATGAGATCCGCTCTGGGCCAGCCAGGGACTCTCAGCCCAGCCCATCTCACAGGGCTGTTGTGAGAATAAAAGGGAGTGGGGAAGAACCTTGTAAATTGCCTTGGGTTCTTTGCAAGAGGAAGAATTAAGTGAGATATCTCTTGTACATGTTGTGAGAGTTCTGCTAATCCAACTGTTTATAAAAGCTTTAAATAAATAAATGCAGTGTAATAACAACATGGCATAATATTTATTTCCTGGGCTGAGGTCCTTCAGATTTAGGATCAAATTCCAACCAAGGTTTTTTTTAAATGATTAATGCAAACATTCACATAATTCTTTTACATGCTGCATTGTATTTCTATTCTTCCCCAAGATACTGAGCTCCTATTTAGGCAGTTTACAATACATGTTCCACAAACCCGTCAATTATAGACTAAAGAGTTATAATTAGTGACTATCTTTGTTTCTTTTGTGATCCTGTTATATTATAATGTATGTTGTTTTTCTTTTGTTTCTTTTATGTTTATTGTGAAATAAAGTAACATTCTGAGGGGGAAAGACTGTTCTCTTCTTCTGCTCCCTGCTGTTTTCCGGATTAAAATCCACACTCTTGCTGGCTTCCACGTATGTCTCCCCCTGGGAGGCAGGGCCCTTTTCACCAAAAAAGGGAGGTGGGAAAAGAGGCTTGGCCTCCCACAGGGCTTTCTTCTATCAAGAAAACTAAACAGACCGGGATGTTTAGAGTGGTATCATAGAGTGGTTTAGAGTGATATCATCTGCACATCTGAGGTTGTTGATATTTCTCCCAGCAATCTTAATTCCAACTGGTGATTCATCCAGCCCCGCCTTTCTCATGATGTGCTCTGCATATAAGTTAAATAGGCAGGGCAACAGTATACAGCCTTGCCAAACTCCTTTCTCAATTTTGAGCCAGTCAGTGGTTCCGTGTCCAGTTCTCACTATTGCTTCTTGACTCACGTATAGGTTTCTCAAGAGACAAATAAGATGGTCTGGTACTCCCATCTCTTTAAGAACTTGCCACAATTTGTTGTGATCCACACAATCAAAGGCTTTAGCATAGTCAATGAAGCAGAAGCAGATGTTTTTCTGGAACTCCCTAGCTTTCTCCATGATCCAGCGTATGTTGGCAATTTGATCTCTAGTTCCTCTCCCTCTTTGAAATCCTGCCTGTACTTCTGGTAGTTCCCGGTCCACATACTGCTGGAGCCTAGCTTGTAGGATTTTGAACATAACTTTGCTAGCATGTGAAATGAGTGCAATAGTGCGGTAGTTTGAACACTCTTTGGCATTGCCCTTCTTTGGGATCAGAATGTAAACTGACCTTTTCCAATCCTGTGGCCACTGTTGAGTTTTCCAAATGTGCTGGCATATTGACTGTAGCACTTTAACTGCATCGTCTTTTAGGGTTTTGAATAGCTCAGCTGGAATACTGTCGCCTCCACTAGCTTTGTTGTTGCTCAGACTTCCTAAGGCCCTTTTGACTTCACATTCCAGGATGTCTGGCTCGAGGTCAGTGACCACCCCATCGTGGTTATCAGGGACGTTAAGCTCTTTCTTGTATAGTTCTTCTGTGTAATCTTGCCACCTCTTCTTAATCTCTTCTGCCTCTGTTAGGTCCCTGCCCTTTTGGTCCTTTATCATGCCCATCTTTGCATGAAATGTTCCCTTCATATCTCCAATTTTCCTGAAGAGATCTCTGGTCCTCCCTATTCTATTGTTTTCTTCTATTGCTTTGCACTGTTCATTTAAGAAGGCATTCTTATCTCCTCTAGCTATTCTCTGGAATTCTGCATTCAATTGTTTGTATCTTTCTCCCTTGCCTTTTGCTTCCCTTCTTTCCTCAGCTATTCATAAAGCTTCCTCAGACAGCCATCTTGCTTTCTTGCATTTCTTTTTCTTTGGGATGGTTTTAGTTGCTGCCTCTTGTACAATGTTGCGAACCTCCGTCCATAGTTCTTCAGGCACTCTGTCTATCAGATCTAATTCCTTAAATCTATTTGTCACCTCTACTGTATATTCATCAGGGATATGATTTAGGTCATACCTGAGTGGCCTAGTGCTTTTCCCTACTTTCTTCAACTTAAGCCTAAATTTTGCGACCATAAGCTCATGATCTGAGCCACAGTCAGCTCCTGGTCTAGTTTTTACTGACTGTATAGAGCTTCTCCATCTTTGGCTGCAGAGCACATAGTCAATCTGATTTCTGTGTTGACCGTCTGGGGATGTCCATGTGTAGAGTCGTCTCTTGGGTTGTTGGAAAAGAGTGTTTGCTATGACCATCGTATTCTCTTGACAAAATTCTACCAGCCTGTGCCCTGCTTCATTTTGTACTCCAAGGCCAATCTTGCCTGTTATTCCGGTTATCTTTTGGCTTCCTACTTTAGCATTCCAATCCCCCATGATGAAAAGGACATCATTTTTGGGTGTTAATTCTAGAAGGAGTTGTAGGCCTTCATAGAACCGGTCAACTTCAGCCTCTTCAGCACCAGTGGTTGGGGCATAGACTTGGACTATTGTGATGTTGAATGGTTTGCCTTGGATTTGAACTGAGATCATTCTGTCATTTTGGAGACTGTATCCCAGTAAAGCTTTTCCTACTCTTTTATTGACTATGAAGGCTGAGGGATTCTTACCCACAGTAGTATACCTGATGGTCATCTGAATTAAATTCACCCATTCCTGTCCATTTTAGTTCACTGATTCCTAAAATGTCGATGTTCAGTCTCGTCATCTCTTGCTTGACCACATCCAGCTTGCCTTGATTCACGGATCTTACATTCCAGGTTCCTATAGAGTATAGATCTTTGCAGCATCAGACTCTCCTTTCACCACCAGATACATCGGCAACTGAGTGTCCTTTCGGCTTTGACCCAGTCGCTTCATTCTTTCTGGCACTGCTAGTACTAGCCCTCTGCTCTTCCCCAGTAGCATACTGGACACCTTCCGACCTGAGGGGCTCATCTTCCGGCGTCGTATCTTTTTGCCTTTTGGTACTGTCCATGGGGTTTTCATGGCAAAGATACTGGAGTGGGTTGCCATTTCCTTCTCCAGTGGATCACGTTTTGTCAGAGCTCTCTGCTATGACCTGTCCGTCTGGGGTGACCCTGCACGGCATAGCTCATAGCTTCATTGAGCTATGCAAGCCCCTTTGCCACAACATGGCAGTGATCCATGAAGGAGCGGTATTAGGTAGTAAAGACATAAAATGTGCATATTTTATATACACACACACACACATAATTGTATGTTCCTATTAAAGCAGAAAGGAAGAGTGTTTAGCCAAACGTGCTTCTCTTATCTGTTTTAGTGCAACGGCTGTGGCTAAATACAAGTACACCGTGACACACGAAACAGAAAGACCAGTTGGTCGAATTTCACACTGAATGCAGACTTCGCTTCTGCGTACAGAATGTCCTGGTGGTGGATGAGCATGTCCGCACAGCAGGAATTCGGAGAAGCCAGAGGTCACTTCAGCTCTCAACACGTCTGCAGGTCTTTGGTGTACCGATTCTTTATACAGGTCTATATTTCGGTCAGGCCTAGCAGAGCATCATGCACTCCGAACAGAAAGAAAACGCTATTTTTACGAACGGCACAGTGTGTTACCAAGAAGGCGAACTATTAATAGCCAGGGAGGAAAATATTTCTGAAGCATTCTCTTCCTTATTAAACTAACTCTGAACAAGTTTGTCCCAAGCTAGAATGATAAACAAAGGAAAAATTAATACTTGGAGGATCGAAACAGAAGAGATGTTTACACAAGGACGAAAAGACACACTGAACATGGATAACTTGAATAACAGAGCAATCCTATGAGTGCGGGTTGCTGAAATGTGGGTTATCATCTTGTCTGAAAGCAGCCATGGTGAACACAACCCAGCAGCAAACCAGGGGCAGTCTTCATGGGTTGTTTGTGCTTCACAAGCCGTGGCTTGTTAGGGCAGCTAGATTGAGACCACATGATAACCCACGCTTCAACAACAACCCACAGGTAACCTATCCTCCAACCTCAGAGGGTGGTTAGTCACTGCCTAAGGACAGTGCCAGAGGACGGTGCAAATTCCTTGCTCTTACAAAGGCACAGACACAGCTATGATCTTAGGATGGGCATCGGAGTCCCTGTTTTTCAGTCCCCACCCCTTGTGACTATTTGGAAAAGCACTGCAGTGGGTGTAGTGAGTGAAGCTGACTGCCACCCTTGACGGGCAACCCGGGGACTCCGGAGAAGTTGGTGGAGGAGGAGGAGGAGACGATGACAAGGACAACGATGGAGCAGCAGCAACAGGAGGAAAAGGCAGTGCTGCCAACGGTGAGACAAGGAGCTTTGGGGAAGCAGAGAAGCGAGTTTGGGGGATGCAAGGAAAGGTACAGGCCTTGGAAGCATCCTCAAGGTCTGAGCAGGAGAGCAAGAATGTTTTGGAAGGGACAGGAGGGGTTGGAGAAGGGGAAGAGGGAAAGCCGTTGCTTTGGCTGATTCCTGGCTCCGTGACAAGGAATCGGGAGAGAGATGAGCTGCCCAGCTGGAGGGTGCGCACAGGTCTTGCTGGCTGTCCCTCTGCCAGTGGAAGCCACCCTGAGGGTGGAGTCCACAGAGTTACCAAAAAGGAAGGCTTTGGGGGAGACGTCCTGAGCTTGGGCTCAACTTCCTTGACATGAGCAGAAGCCAAGCTTCCAAACTCACTCGAGAGCTTTTAGACTGGCTTGGTCTCGCGGCTGTGCAGTGCCAATACACACCTGCTTTGCAAAGAGACGGCCTGGCATTTTGGGGCCAAAGGGCAAGAAGGGGAGGGCGAGGCTCGTGACAAGGGCCTTGTTGCCAAGGATGGATGCGACAGCATCTTCGGAAGAACCGAAACAGAGGGAAGGGAAGGAGAAGAAGAAGAAGATGCCTGGCTTGGCCCAGTCCGAGAGCTTCTCCGTCACCATCTCCACTTCTGGCCCGGTAAAGCAGCCAATAGGCTGAGAGGCCCATCTTGCTGAAATGTTTTAAACCAGAGAGTTGTAACCCTTCCTTTCCCTTGTTTGCCTGTTGACAGAAGGGCTTTGGACAGACACTCTAATCTTGGAGTCCTCCATCTATCAAGCATCAGTTCTCTAGGACTCCACTTTAGCTAAGGTTCAGAGAAAGGTTAGCTAATTTACGAATATTTCTTAACTTTTAAGGCTCTAAATGGTTCGAGGTCATGGTATCTGAAGGACTGTGTTCACACATACACTCGTGTCCCTATGTTAAGATCTCCCTAAAGGGTCTTTCTTGAGATTGCTTAGGTTGGCTGGAACAAGAAATAGGGCCTTAATGATAGCCCTCAAGTGTGGAATATATGCAAGCCAATCTTGCAGACTTTTCTGTTCAAGGCAATATTTAACTGTGTTTGCAATTAGCACTGTATTTTCAGAACAGCTCGTCAATTTACTCTGCTATGTTCATTAAACTAATATGTTTTTGTACATCACCTTGTAAGACAAAGCCCTACAAATGCTAGAAATGTTTCAAACAAAGATTTGTAAACTAGTAATGAACACTGATAATAAAATTTGCCATACAAGCAGAACACCAGCAAGCAGAAACCTACTAGATCATAAAAGTACAAGTTGTAAACAAAGCTGCTAATTAAAAGTGTTAATGTAATTATCACCCATTTCATTTATTCCATTTGTACCTCAATCTAATTCAATATCTACCTGTTATAGTGTCCTGTTCAATGCCCCCCCCCCCCCCCCCCCCCCCCCCCCCCCCCACCCAAAAACACAACCACACCCAGACAATCAAAACAACACAACACCGTGTCTAAACACC